GTGATCCAAAGTTTTGATTATTATAGTTTTGACCCATTTTTAAAACAACAAATTAGGATGTTTTTACTTGGACTAAAATTTGTTGGTCTGATCTAGTCGGATTTGTCCTGGTCTGTTCTGAACTGATTTGGTCTGGTCTAATTTCTTTGTATTTTTATAACTATCCAAGTCTGGTCTAATCCGGTCTGATCTGATCTGAGACAAATTATAGTCCAAGTAAAAACATCTATATAGAACAACAAATTAAAGTTATTAATTTGATAGAAAATAACAAAAATATAATAAAATTTAAATCGCACAATATTATAAATAAAGTTTCAAATCGAAACAACATAATAACATAATACAAATGATACTTAAGAAAATAACATAATTAAAATTACAATTAATAACACCATTATAATTAGTGAAATATTGATTATTGTATTTTAATTAGTGAAATGCGGAAAATACATATTAAAATGGTGTATTTTAGTTTGTATGTGTGAAATAATGTGTGAAATGTTAAAATATTAAATGAGGGGCTAATGTATAAATATATGATAATTAGATACTTAAATAGAAGAATGGTAAAAAGTTAGTAAAATGAATAAAAAAAGAATATTCCTTTTTGGTGATGAAAATGGTGTAAACTGTTGAAGATAAAATACTGTTACACCATTTTAGTGTAAACAATGGTGTAAACCGTTGATGCCAAGCAACTTCTCAAACGGGCTGGGTGTAGACTCAACTCGATTAGATCAGAAACTCCCCACTTCCCAACCCCTCTTCTACACTCTCCGAGCTTTGAGCTGCAATTACAGACATGGCATCTTGTCTCTGCCCTGGGAACTCATCCTATACTAAAAAGTTCTGCAGGTTAATTTCTAAATCCCCTTCCCATTACGTGGCTTCTTTATTTTCTTCCATACTTTCGCAGTACCCATGTCATTGCATTTTCAGGATACACACCTATTGTGGTCAATTGCAGAAAGCCGTGTTGTCTTTCTATAGTATTCGCCCAAGGAAAAGGTGCAATGTTAAGCTTTCCTTTCTGCTTAGAACAACCTATTCTGCCTCTGATGTTCTGACTCATGTCACTTCAGATGTGCTGAACGAAGCTACTTCAGAATGGTATGAACTTTTTCGTCGCACATTTCTCCATTTATAATATCTGGATACCTTTGCATTTGGTCCCATATGATTAAAGTCTTGAAAAAGTTGAATCTTTATGATTCTTTTTTTTATAAATTAGTCCGTATCATATGATCATTTGTAAGTGGATCTTGATGTTGGTAATTTTTTTCCCCTGACAACATGAAGTTGATTGAACTGTGTTACTGGGAAAATATCCAGACACTCTAATGTAATTCTGGTGCAGAATGCAGTTCATAACGTTTATATATATATTTATCCATGCCTGCTTTTGTTACAGGTCTAGAAATACGGGAAACTGCTTAAAAAGTGATTTGAGCTGTATTAATGATCTTGAAGAGCAATTGCATGATCTCTTTAATGAAGTAAATGTCATGATAAAGTCAGGAAAGAGAAATGATGCTGTTGATCTACTTCAAGCAAATTATGAAGCCATTAAAGAACAGATAGATTGTGGTTTTAGAGGAATAGAAGAGGCAGCTGTTCTTGACATAATAGCATTGGGTTACATGGCCCTTGGTGACCTAAACACCGTTGGATCCATACTGCATCTGGTAATTTATCTTATTTATAAAAAACCTCATTTTTATGAGCTCCAATCCTCCCTTTTGTCTCTTCATTCTTTTTTATCCATATATTTACCCATGTTTTTTTCTTATCGACAGTTGAACGGGATCGTTGAAGATTTGAATAATGATGGACCTCTATTGGACTCAATACTGATGCATATGGGAAGCATATATGATAAATTAGGGAAATTTGAAATGTCATTATCATCATACAGAAGAGCGCTAGCAATAACAGAAAGAAGATATGGTGATTATTTTATGATAGTAAAATATACTGGTAGTAGAAAGAAATTCATGATATAAACAAATTTTCCAACTTGGCAGGGGAAACAAATTCTTTCATCATCGTCCCATTGTTAGGAATGGCAAAAGCTCTTGGCTCTGTTGGTAGGGCTAGAAAAGCTATAGAAACATACTATCGTGCAATCTCAATATTGGAATCTAGCCAGGGCACTGAAAGTGAAGAACTAGTGGTGCCTTTATTTGCTTTAGGAAACCTTTTACTGGAGGAAAGAAGAGCAGCAGATGCTGAAATTGCTTTTCAAAGGTGACATCTTTTCTTTCATTGTTCTCGGCAGTCTTTGGTTCTTGGCTATTAATTCTTTGTAATACTTTTTTGTCTTTTCCCCCTCGTCTATGTATGTTGTAGAGTCATAAGTATCTACAAGAATTTGTATGGTGAAAATGATATAAAAGTAGGATTGGCTTTGTGTTCTCTTGCAAGCGCAAAATGTAGAAAAGGTAAATCTTGCAGTTCTCTGTTGTCTCCCGTGCTGAAATTCAAACTAAGGGGGATGTGTTAACAGTAACTTACTGCTTTTTTAGACTTTTACAGGAAATATGGATGAAGCCATTGATATATACAGAAAGGCTCTTCAGGTGCTCAAAGATTATGAACGCACAGTAGACGACAAAGTTATGGACAAGATAAGAACAGACATGGCAGAGTTACTTCATTTACTAGGAAGGTAATTTTGTGTGGTACTACCGTACTAGAGTGAATACCAAGGGAAGACAGCCTTTTCTGATACTTCAAATTGTTTTTCCATCAGAGTTTATTACTATTCTCTCTGTCTGAAAAGAAGACCCTTGTTTCAAAGATATGATTAAAAAAAACTTCTTATTCATCAAATAAAGCAAATATGACGTTTTTAAACTAACTAAATATTATAAAAATATAAACAGAATTTCTGACATGGGAGGACCCTGTTTTCCCACAGGTGAAAGTAGTATTTTAAGCCATTAATAGATAGATGGCAAGTTGTGGCTCTACAATAATATTGAAAAGGCATATATCAACTCATGTAGAACTTCACAACCTAGCCTGTAAAATTTAGGATCTGTTTGGATGGAGTGGTTCGGAGGGGAATGATTTGGAGGTCTTAGTCCATATATTGGAACGTGTGTGCGCATGTATGCATACCTTCCATGGATCAGTGTACTTTTTAAAACATTAAGTAAAATGCTCAAAGATTTTTGTGTAGCCACTAGCCACCAAGATTTTAAATTGCGGTTCCGGTAGCGGTGTTGCAGCTAATGCGACCGTTGCGACGCATATTGCAGCCGATGAGGAGTGAAATATTTCCAAGTTCGCACCATTTTTTGTATTCTTTAACAAATCTTCTATTAATTTTATTTAACATAAATTAGTTTATTTGAATTAATGGATGATAAAATTAATAGAAGCATTATGAATACTTCTTCTTTTTATAATGCATTGTGAATGCTTTTTTAAAAACTTATCAGTTATCCGTGAACAATGAATCTTTAAAAGAGAATAATGATTAGAAAGATTGCTAAACTAAAGAATTATTACAAACACAATTAAATAGATTCTTACATTAAATGATTATAACAAACACAATTCAACATGATCTGACAAGATATAAATAGTTCGAAGTGTTACATTGACAATAATGCAAATACATCTCCGGTGCGGATTGCACACTTGAAAATAAATATTAAAAGTCAAACGTGTTAACAAATCAATAATAATAATTATAAATTAATAATAACGTAAAGAAGAAATATACTCCCTCCATCCCACTAACAATGGGACAAGAGAGAGTGGCACACAATCTATGAAAGGTGGTTTATGTGGTTGATAATGAATTGATAAAGTAAGGACAAAGTAAGAATGATTTAGAGTCACACAAATTTTACCAAATAAGGTATGAGACAATCTTAGTGGGACAGACCAAAATGATAAAATGGAACAATCTTAGCGGGACGGAGGTAGTATTAATTTACATGATTCTTTCAACCACATGGTGGAATGTCATTAGGGATCACAACCTCTAGTTTAACTTTGACTATCATCATGAGAAGATTCTTGATTGAAAACTTATTAATAAAACTCACCACTTGCTTGTCGATAATAAGAATTTTGATATGTTGATGGTTGATAATATGAAGAAGCTTCATCATTTGCATGTTGACCATAAGAGGTGACACTTGGAAACTCATCAAAAAGGCACATGAATAAGATGCATATTTCCTAATTCCTATTCTCATACTTGCCCATTTTCACTGGTCCCACACAATGAATTATCATCAATAGTCATATAAGTCAAACTCCTATAACGCTTGGAGTATGAGAAGTTTGGTTGATTCTCCTTCACAGTGTTATCATCACCATCAATATTGTGTTCCCCAAATCCTCCATTATCACCGGAAACTATCATCGTTTGGTGTATCATGACCGCCACCATTATCATCACAATCATCATTATCATAAACGCTTTCCATATCTTCATCTTATGTGTTTATCAAAGGCAACCATTTTGAATGTTGCACTCCGTCTAATAGTTGATTTTCCCTCTCTTCAATCCATGAAGATAATGAATCATCTTCTTCAAAAATATAGTCAAGATTAATCAGATTTAAACTTTCTTCGATTTCTCCTTGACTTATTCACATCTGATGTTTCATTTTCAGCTTCATATTGTAGTGAGTGAAAACTAATTTTTGCAACTTTTTACATTTCAATCTATCCCTTGTCTTCGTGTGTATATAGCTAAATGTGCTTCAATTCCTCTCACAGTTTGTTGCTGACGTCGTTTGACTAAGAATTTTCATGACCACACGTTTAAGTTCAGGAGCACAACCACCATATATCAACCACCACTCAGCTTTACAAAAGATCACGAATTAATTACTTAAGTAATTTTTTAACATAAAAATATTGATAAATGTATAAATTAAAAGTAAAATTTTACATTGATTCATGTTAGGCATGAATCAATGTAAATTTTACTTCTAACACGAATCAATGTAAAATTTACTTATAATTTATACATTTATCAATATTTTTATGTTAAAAAGTATTTAAGTAATTAATTCGTGATCTTTTGTAAAGCTGAGTGGTGGTTGATATATGATGGTTGTGCTCTTGAACTTAAACGTGTGGTCGTGAAAGTTCTTAGTCAAACGATGTCAACAACAAACTGTGAGAGGAATTGAAGTACATTTAGCTATATACACACGAAGACGAGGAATAGATTGAAATATAAAAAGTTGCAAAAATTAGTCTTACCCACTACAAAATGAAGTTGAAAATGAAACACTAGATAAGAAAAAGTGAAGCAGAGATTGAAGAAAATTTTAATTCGATTAATATTGACTATATTTATGAAGATGATGATTCAGTGTCTCCATGGATCGAAGAAAGGAAAAATCACTATTAGATAGAGTGCAAGATTAGAATGGTTGCCTTTGGTGGGCACAAATGATGAAGATATATATTGCGCTCATGATAATGGTGGTCATGGTACACCATGCGGTGATAGTGACGGTGATGGTTATAATGGAAGATTTGGGGAACATCATAATGATGGTGATGTTAACATGACATGGGAGATTCAACCAGACTTCTCATACTCTAGGCGTTATAGGAGTTTGATTGAAATAACTATCGATGATAATTCATTGCGTGAGACTAGTAGAAGCAAAACAAGTATGAAAACAGGAAAGTAAGAAACAAACATCGTAATGTTCCATTAGTTGATTCATCTTATTCTAGTAATGGACCAAATTTTGGTTATACTTGTAACGATGAATTTTCTAGTGGTACACAATATTATGTGCCTTTTGCTGAGTATCCTAATCTCATCTCTTATTGTCAATACGCAAATTATGAAACTTCTTCCTATTATCAATCATCAACATATCAACAAACAAGTAATGAGTTTTATGATTATGTTTTCAATCAAGGATCTTCTCATGATGATAGTCAAAGTGAAATCATAGGTTGTTGTTCCCAATGAAATTCCATCATGTGGTTGAAAGAATCATGTAAATTACTATATTTCTTCTTAAGATTATTACTATTATTATTGTAGTAGTTGTTGTTGATTTATTAACTCATTTGACTTTTCATTTTTTTGTTCAAAAAAGTCTGCAATTTGCACAGGAGATGTATTTGCATTCTTGACAATGTAACACTTGAAACGCTTTATATCATGTCAGTGCATGTTGAGCTATGTTTGTTATAACCATTTAATGCAAGGACTACTTAAATTAAGAGATCTGTTAAGACTTGTTTAGTTTGAAGAAATTTTTAATAGTGTTTGTAATAATTATTTAGTTTAGCAATCTTTTTAATTATTATTCTCTATTAAAGATTTGTTGTTCACCTATGTAGCGCGAAAACTCTTGGGAAAGTTCTTTGGAAACTCTCCAAACAAGTCTTTTTTGGGCAAAAGTTGATGTTTCTTGTTTTCCGTTTCCTCATTACTTCCGCGTTTCCGTGCAACATAGTTGTTCACATATAACTATATAAGTGTTTAAAGAAGAAGTATTCATAATGCTCTATTAATTTTATCATTTATTAATTCAAATAAACTAATTTATGTTAAATATAATTAATAGAAGATTTGTTGAACAATACAAAAAATAATGGTATTCCTATTTGGTGCGAACTTGAAAATATTTCATGCGGCAACGGCCACAATACGCATCGCAGCGGCCTCATTAACTGCAATGACCGCTACCGTAACCACAATTTAAAATCTTGGATCATATAACACTTTTATCCCCTTTGATTTGTTTTTAGAAATATTCTATTTTTTCAACAAACAGACTAACTATTCAAAGCATCCCCACCACCCCTTCCAATAGTGTTCATTCAAACAGGCCTTTAATTGTTTTGTCATGTAAATTTGCGTACACAAGCAAACACACATTTCTCGTTGATTTCTTTCCTTTCAGGGAGGATGAAGGCCGTTCCCTTTTGGAAGAATGCTTGCTGATCACTGAAGAATATAAAGGGAAAGACCACCCAACATATGTAACCCATCTTGTAAATCTGGCCACATCGTATTATCGGTCCAAAAATTATGTTGAAGCAGAGAAGTTGCTGCGTATTAGTTTGCAAATTATGCTGAAGGCCCTGCCACCTGATGATCAGGCTGTTAGCTTTCCAATGCTGCATCTTGCAATCACTCTCTACAATTTGAACCAAGTTGAGGAAGCTGAGAAGTATGCACTTGAGGCTTTACATATTCGTGAGAAGGCATTTGGAAAAGACTCTCTCCCCGTTGGTGAGCTCCTGTTGATTCACTACTATTTTGATTGCAGTTTTATTACAAAAATTAGGGCCTCTTATTTTCACCTGAAGATTATGAACTGCTTTTTTCATGGCCCTGTCTGAATCTTTCTTGTTGGTTTTGATGTTTCTGGTTTGGTCTCAATCTTTCTGGCGTGGTATGATCTTACTGATCTTTCTAGTCTTGTCTTATTTTTCTGCCTAAATGTAACGTTTGGTCTGAATGTTTGGTTTTGGGGGAATTTCCAAAAATACGGGAGTTTCAAAACTCCCATGCAAAAAACGGGACTTTGGTTTAGGGTACAAAAAACACAATTGAGAAGGGCCTTATCCCGAATAGAATAGGGTTTAGGAAAAAAATGGTCAGAGTGCCCCATTCCGAGTGTAATATAATTTCAAAAAAAAGTTAATAGGTCAGACTTTTATTTAAAGTTAAAGTGTTTAAACTTTTATTGATATTCCGTTCTGAAAATGTACTCACTCCACCGCCAAGTTCTCTACCTAACTATTTTGTTGTTACTTTCCGATTTGTTTAGGATTTTGGTGGATTTTATGCCAAGTTGGATTCACGTGCAAATTCTTTTCTTCCGTATATAAAAATAAAATATCTGCTATCTATAGTCAAAAACTAATTTTAAGTGTTAGACAACCCGAACTATGAATGACTTTGTAGTAGTGATGCTTAATCATCTACTAGCGATGACAATGATGAGGTAGTATACACCACATGAGTCAATGTGGAACTAGACAAACCATATGTTGATGTTTTATATCGTGAGCCACAAATGATTGCGGTTGGCGTGATATATAGTACATATGATGCATTAGAAGAAGTCGGGGACAGAGAATGTTGTGAAAGGTGGTGTGGGAAGTGAATAAATATCAGCCCCTCCAAAGCCGTAGATCAGTTTATACCATAGCTCGGATGACAGGATCCTAACGGGTAAGATCATAACAAATCAGATCTCTCCAAAAGTGCGGACGGGTTGACTAAAGCGTCAAACTCGTCTATGAAAATTTTTAAATCCATGTCTGATACAAAAGACTTGTTATGACCGTTTGATCGTTCTGGGGCGTAGAGTCGGCAATTGAGAGACGTCATATAGTGAAGTACCTAAGTTGTTAGAAACAATAAGATATTCAAATCTAAGAGTCATGTTCAAATCAAAATAGTCAACCAACACTCCATAGAGTTACAAATTTTGCCGAGCATTCTGGTCTTTCAAAATGTCAATTGATGTTTTTTGTCACTGTCTACCTGTAATCTCGGTTGACGGTACTCACTTGTACAACAAGTACAAGGTTGTTCTCATAGTTGCGCTGTCCATGAACGCTAATCGTGAGATATTCTCTCTCGTGTATGATGTTGTGGAGGGTGAAAATGCAAATATTTGATCCTGGTTCATTCAAAGGGTTATGTCAAGTGTGATTGGAAGACAATAACCAAGTTTGTCTAATCTTCGATCGCCATTCGTCACATGTTTCGAAGTGTTATTGTTGCCGTCATATAGAGAGCAATTTTGTGATGAAATTGTGGAACAACGAGTTGAAAAAGCTATGCCGGCAAGCCAATTACACTCATCGTCCGGGAACTACATGAATGTACGCATCAAATAATAGGTATAAATGAGAATTCCTTTATACGTAGTATATTTTAGCGGTGAAATTGTTGGCGAAATGTGGGCACTTAGTTACGACAAACCTTTCTAAAAGTTTTAATTGTGTGTTAAAGACATATAACCTAACTCATTAAGTCATTATCGCGATGTTCGATAAAGTTGTCGAACTTTTTGCGGATTGACGCACCGCTGGACTTATGTGGCAACACGTTGAGTTCTTATATCCACAAAACATATGTAATGAGGTTTTTGAGCTGTCACACCGTAGGCAATACAGTAATGATATCCCACATAATAAGGATTTACTCTGTTACCATACGGGTTCATGTCCGCATATGACAACAAAGTACATCCTTTATGTGGAGGGTTGATATTTTTTCACTTTCCACAACTGTGAGTTTTGATCATCTCCCGCTGCTTGGATATGCTAGGTGCATATGTCCTGGTAGATGCATATCGCCTTCCACGACAGTGCAAGTTTGTTATTTGATTGGAAAATTTGGTATTGACAAATGCTTTCTCTGGTTACGACTTCTTCAAATACATCATATGTACTGCATATCACGCCGATTGCAATCGTTTGTGGCTCACACTATACAACCTCAACATTGGTGAAGTTCGAGTTGTCTGATCTTGAAACAAGTTTTTGAGAAATATACAGTATGAGAGTAATTTAGCAGTTTAGATGAAATATCTTTATACGTATTTCTTTGATAGTACAATTCTGAAATTTCCACCAAAAACTCATTTTCTCTCATCACTTTCTTCCATCCAACCAAATACAAATGAAGAGAAACTCAAATTTTCCCCTTCCTCTTCTACTTTTTTTTTGGGTACTACAGAAAGACCATTTTCTACTTCTATGATACCTTTTAATCCAAACACCCTAAAAATCCAGCAATTTCTCTTTTCTCCTCCTTCGTTTACTACCTCTTCCTTCATACTTCTATCTTTATCATAACAAAGCATTCAGAACTGATACATTTTTTATAGGATACTATATGAGGACATTTTTTTCATAACTCCAAATTAATGACTTGTACCACATTGTCTACAAGTGGATTTCGTAGAAACCTATACTTCAAAAAGTATACTTGTGATTTCTTGTAACCTTAACGTTGTGTGGTGATGCAGGGGAGGCCCTTGACTGTCTAGTTTCCATTCAGAAAAAACAAGAAAAAGATGACGATAAGTTGTTAGAACATCTGAAGAGAATTTTGAGAATTCAAGAGAAAGCTTTTGGCAGCGACAGTGAACAGGTCATGGAAATGCTTAAAAAGGTTGTACACTACATGGCAAGATTAGGGTTGAAACACGAGAAACTCCCTCTGGAAAGAAGATTGACCCATCTTAGAGAAAAGTTCAAGCTTGCTGTCAAATATTAAGGGTATGTTTAGATCCCGCATAATGAATATGCAAAAGAAAAACAAACGTAAAGGAAGTTGTTTTATAAAGTTTGGGTTAACCTTGTAAAATTTTATTGAAAAAAAATCTAATTAACATTTTAAATTTTATTACACATACAAGATTTTTTAGTTTCTGTTTATTAATAGAAATAAATAAATGGAGTGAGTTCGAACAAATGTCTTAAAATCTTGTACTACGTACAATTTAAGTAAGGATTTCATTTTAATAGGGACTTCATTTTTTCTGCATGGTTTGCACCTGTTTTATTATGGTTCTATTCATGAAGCAGCTTTGATGGTTTACACAGATGTCTGCCAGAAGTTAGTAATGCTCTTCAGGATCGGAGTTGAGACTTGTCTTTCACTATGGCAACAAAATGTTAACCAGCAATGACACTTTCTAATGTTAGAGAATTGGTAGAATGAAAAAGTAGAATGCTTCGTGGTTGCCTGTAGTCTCAGAAATTCTGCTGAGTTATGTTTATGATAGCCAATTGTGTTAGCTGGTAGATCTCACCTTTCTTTTTGTTGTATTTGGAGCCCAAAGAACAATTTTTTTTAGTGTTGCAACCATATGTATTTGAAAGACATACATTGGCATCAAGTAAGTTTCGGCATCACAAGATTCACAACACAAATTGTCTCAATGTTTTTACTTGGACTTTAGTTTGCTGGCCTGGTCTGTAATGTCTTATTTCTTTGTATTTTTATAACTACCCAAGTCTGGTCTGATCTAGTGTGGTCTGATTATAGTCCAAGTAAAAACATCCAAGTAATGGCTAAGGTTGTTGAATTATGACACTATGGTTACTTGAATTGTGTACATAATATAATATGACACTATGGTTACTTAAAGGTTTGCAAATAATTCTCAATTGTGTAATTTTGTTAATGAAAATTTGATGTTCAAGGATTAGTACCTAATAACCTAATTATCTAGTAGCATTCCCTTGGGCATTGCGGATCCGAACATAATACTCCAAGTAAGAAGCTGTTCTCTTCACCTGATCTAAATGTTTCTGATATGAACTTTTTAAGTTCTGATCTAACCTGATCTGAATTTTTTTGATCTAATCCGAATTTTTCTAATCTGATCTGAATCTTCCTGATCTGATAAGATTCAACTCATTAATAAGCTGTTTGGTAGTCTGGCACTCTGGCTAAGGATGGACTCGGGCCGGGCCAACCGGCCCGGAACCGGACCGGCCCGCTACTGTGCGGGCCCGGACCAGCCCGGTTAACCGGTTCAGTTCCGGTTCGGGCCTCCCGGCCCGGTGGTATACCGGTCCGGGCCCGGGCCTCCAGTTTAGTGAACCGGCCCGGCCGGGCCGGGCCCGGTTCGGGCCGGAATTTAATTTTTTTTTTTTTGAAATTTTTTTAAGTTTTGGGTTGGATTAGGTATTTTGGGCCATTTGGGGTGGTTTGGGATGGAGGGGGAGGGGTAGGGGGTTAAATAAGAGAAGAAGAAAAAAAAAAAAAAAACATTCCGGGTGGCCCGGCCCGGCCCGGTTCTGGCCCGGAACCGGAACCGGAACCGGAACCGCCCACCCCCCGGTTCGGGCTCGGGCCTCCTTTTTCTGAACCGAGGCCCGGCCGGGCCCAGGCCCGAACCGGGCCCGAACCGGAACCGGTCCACCCCTAACTCTGGCCTAATCCACAAAGGCACAAAGGTTGGGCGTTATTTGAGTCCGGATGGAGTCCATTTTTTCGATTTCGTGCCTAGGATCGATCTTATCCGCTCAAGAGGGATGCCAGTATCCAATCTCAATTTACACATTTGGGAGTTGGGACCGAGTCTGGCGGTTTTGGTCCTGGTTTCAGTCTCCATCAGCGTTTTTTGTTTCAGCCTTGGGAGGAGAAAAAAAAAGGTGATTCTATATGTAGCAACAAAAATACAAAATGGCTATTCACAGCCACTAAATTAATTTAATTAAGGAAAAATTCACACTGATAATCCCAACTATTAAGTATTAACCATCTTCCAATATTAATCCCAAATATTCATAATTCTGGAATAATCCCAAATTTACCCTTGTCCTTCTAAAATTGATCCCAGGTAACTTGAGACTTAATGAACCGGTAAAAAGAATTAAAAGAAAAGGAAAAAGAGAAAATGCCCAACAACCAATCCACATTCACTGTTCCGAGAAGCCCTGCGTCGATGACTTGGTACAAGCGGCCAACCAAGTCCCCGACCAGATCGCTTCTATTCGTTGTTGCCGCCGACTATATGTCACCCGCTGCTTTCATGGCTTGCAAGTAAATCAGTCGCCCGTAGTAGGAAGTAGCATCGTGGCGCACTCTACCATCTTTAGGGATCAGATCTGCTTCCGTTTGGAGTTGAGGGGGTTGCAAGCTTTGATCCCCATAAATCGGCCCCGTTGCGAAAAAATGAAGAAAGAAATTTCATCAAAAAGAAGGGGATGCGCCTGTCACGTTTTTCTCCATAGAACAGAGGAACAACCAACTAAAATAAAAGAAAAAGGAAAAAGAGTAGAAATCAAAGTAGGAGGAGGGGAGAAGTGGAGAACTGACACTCCAAAGAGGAGAAAGAAAACAAGAAAAAAAAAGATGGCAGAGCTTGGAGGAAGGAGTTGGAGCACGGAGGCTGGAGCAGATGCACGCTTGGGGTTGGGGGAGAGAAAAGAAAACGAAAAGAAGAAAAAATAAATAAAAGAGAAACAAAAGAGAAAATTGAAAAAATTGAAAAATTATAGTCCAATTAGAATAAGCCACATGGCAAGGAACAATTTATGCAGGTCACCAGTTTGTTATGAGAAAATACACTATATAATTGGGATTATATTGGAATTACCTAAAGTTGTGATTAATATGAAAAGGTCACGAATAGTTGGAATTATTTATGTGAATTTTTTCAATTAAGGAAATAATCTATTTTTAAATATCAGCTTTGCCCTACACATATTCAGGCATACAAATCATCCAACCAGCATCATCTATCGTTCCTAAATAAAACACTTTTGGAGATGTAAGGAAAAATTGATTAGTAGTAAAAGTTGAAAGTGTTTGAGAAAAAAGTGATTTTGAAAAGTAAAAGTTGGTAGTGTTTGGTAAAATAAGTGTTTTTTATGTAATAGAAAAGGGAAAAACACTTTTCACATGCAAGTCGAGAAAAAGTAAAAATTGGTAGTGTTTGATAAATAAGTGCTTTTTAAGTCAAAAGCTGAGAAGTTCTTTTTTTAAGCTGTTGCAAACATTCCCTTACAACGCGATCGGCCGGTCGGCCTTTCTGGTCTTCCTTGCCATCCCCACCAGACCGTCTTCGCTCGTCTTCCCCGCCACCTTTTTACGGAAATTTGTAGTATCGCGGCACACTCTCCCATCTACAGGGGTGGGTGAACGGGTCTTGGAACTGCGGTCCGGTCCGGGTAATGGCGGTTCGGGTCCAAAATGGGCCGGTTCCATTTTTTGTTGCCATAAAACGGTCCGGGTAGGTTCGGGTAATTTTTTTTAAGGACCCAAGCCGGTTCCAAAATAAAAAACTACCGGGTACCCGGCCCGGCCCGTTATATATATATATATATATATATATATATATATATATATATATATATATATTGTATATTAATTTATTGATAGTTTTGTGATAATCGGTTTTGAAATAGTTTTGTTTTCCTTTGCTAGAAGTAGGATTTCAAATTGAGTTGCAGTAACATCATTTTGCTTTCAAATTATTGATTAAATTTTACATTAATTTCTTATTACTTTTTATTGTTATTGATTTATTCCTTTCTATGGAATTTAATTATTTGTTTAAAATGATTTTGTAATACTCCGTATTTGTTTTTATAATATTGTTCTTAAAATATATAAATTGTGATACCACTCCCATGATGTTAGACAACATTTTTAAATTCAAATGTTAGAAAATATGTATTTTGGCCATGTTGCTGACTTTTGAAACTTCTTTAATTGTTTGGAACTTATATATACATGAAATTATGGAGTATTGGACTTGTCACTTGTGTTACATGTGCACCACTATGTTGTTATTTTGAAACTTGCTAATGTACTATATTATTGATTATTGATTTTTGGAACTTTGTGAGTTTTTACTAATTTTAAGACATGAGAATAGAAACCGTAAAACCCGGACCGGACCGACCCGTTTCAAACGGGTCGGGTAAGGTCCGGTTTCTATTTTGAAAGTTGCAATGCCCGGACCGGATTGGACCGTACAATGGAACCGGCGGTTCCATTTTACTTTGCATTACCCGCCCCGACCCGGCCCGTGCCCAGCCCTAGTCTCAACTCTCAAACCAAGGAAAAGTAAAAAACTTCAACAATTTTGCATCTCTCTATTTGCCCGAAACTAATACATTCTGCTGAAAAGGATGGCAGTAATGCTGGAAACGAAGGCAGTCCTATGGAAATAATATTGGGGTATAAACTTGTCTTCTTTTGATTATGAATGAAGGAATATATATACAAGAAAGTGCGTATCAGTTGAGCCCTTAGCCCAAAACACAAGTATACAATTAAATACAAAATAAATACAAAGTGGGCCTAGCCCTTAATTACTAACGTGCTAACACATTCTCCTTGTAAAGTAGATTAAATCTTGCATTCAATTTTTTATTTTTTTTGCTCATCTGCGTCCATTTTCAATCTTATTGGATTTATAAAGGAAACCACAAAAATTGCTTACATTTTGAAAACTTGCTTATGTTTGGATTCCAGCAGCGCATTTGTAAAGTAGATTTCAATGACAGAACATGGATGCTCCAAAAACTCCAAAAATTTGACACAGACTAGTATATTAGCAATGATTAGAACTTCAATGGATTAGGTTGAATTGAAGCCGCGATGGTAATGATATAACGTTTTAAAATTAGACATTTAAAATAACGTTTTTAATTAGAAATTAATTGGGAGGCTGTGAGTAGCAAAATTGTGGCTATGTATAGAATTGCCCCAAAAAAATTAACGGGATCAGGACCGAACAACCATGGACTCATGGTACCCGAACGAGCCCAGAACCAGAAATAATTGGATCTGGACTGACCCGGATCCATACCTACTTAGGAATAACCAACCAAGTACCCCAATTACATAATTTACATAGACCCGACTCTTTTTCTAATATGATTAGGTGAGGGTTAACTCTATTTTTATCAATCAATAACACTAAAACATATTCCGGAGTATACTGAAACATGCAAGTTATTAAAGTTTATTATAGTTGTTTTTTGTATTTCTACGTAGTTGCCTATTTTAATAGTTGACAAATCATGTAATATTAATTTATTAGGTTGTCTATTACTCATTACGTAGGAAGGTCCCTTGCATGGGACATGCAAATACTTTTCTCTCTCTCTCATTATAGATAGACATCTCATGTATTATATATGGCCGCACCTTCCTTCAATGTTTAATGATAAAAAAAAGAGAATTCCTCCAGTATAGTTTCTAAGCTTCTTTGGTTTATGAATAATATTCTTCCATCTTAATTTTATCATGGTATCAGAGCCGAAATCCTGAAAACAAGTTCTTCTTTCCCAAACATTCTCATACGTTTTTTTCTCTCCTCTTTGTAACCCATGGCGCCGGTTGATGTTGAAACCAAGGCTATTGGCAGTGAGTCCGGCGATTTAGTCATAGACTCAATGTC